TTGTCATTTTGGCGAAAAAAGGTTGCAAATGCCCCACTATGGGGTCCAAATAATGCAACAAAATCCCCAAGGGAAAATATTGGAAAAAACATTGGGAAAATATAAGCTCTATCACGTATCAATATATCTGTATTTAAAATCGATTCTGTAGCCATTTCGTTTTAAAACGTTTTTAATTGAAATATTGAAGCCTCAAAACTTTATATAGCAATATCAAACTGCGGAAGTAAGTCAATGTATGAACAGGATGGACAAGAAAAAAGTCTTAGTGTGTATAGTCCGCCATGATTAATTTGCAATACGCACGCACATGTAAACATGTACGACTAAATAGCGAAACAAGCGATAAATATTCGACTTTTTAGCCTCGAACAAATTCCTGACCACGGGGATAACCTACAGAAAGCAATGCCCGACCCTGGAAACAAGAACAGTTGAGAATGCCCGACAAACCCCGGGGGGGGGGGGGGGGGTTGGGCAACCATGGAACTGATCGAAACATAACTCAGGAGGAATTAATCATATTGATTCAAACTTTTTGGTGGACACTCGTAATAATGATATAAACAACATATAAAACTTCCAGTATAGAGTTATTGTTTATTACTTACCGTCAAAATGGGAAGGGTCCATCACTTTTGTAATAAAATATGTTGTCAGACGTCCATGTTTATAAACAGTCGCATGGCACCTTCCGTAAATATCGTAGGCCCGCGTGCAGGCCCAGGGAAGAATAGTGGGCCTGCAAGGAAGACCAGTTTTTTTGTAAAACGCCTCTTTTCATAACACACCCCATTCGCGCGTAAATTATCAAAAAAGAACCAATGACAGCAACTCAAATAGTAACAAACAAACTCGCATAAAAGAGTTGCGGGGTTTTCTCTGTTTATTCAGAATATAAACAATGTGTAAATGGCTGAGTTTTCCAAAAAAGCAAGAAACGCAGTCAGTAGTTGCCAAATTTGCAAGTGCTCCGTTTTCAACTAAAATCAGAACAGGCAAATTAGGACGAATTTTAACGGCCCCGCCATTTTGAAAAGGTCAAGCAGCTCATTAATATTCTATTTTGTGGCTATCCACGACGACTGGAGATTGCCGATCTATACTTGCCTGGGGCACAGGTGCCCCAGCGAGTAATAAAGCCGCTAAACTGATTCTATATCTTCCTCTTCTCACATCAGTAACCGAAGCCCTCGCTACCCTTCAATGGTTACTAACTCTTTCCTCACGCAGAAATAAACATCGCTGTATCTTCATCTACAAATGTACAAATGGACTGTTCGACTTTGACTTTAAACTAACAACTAACAATTGTATTCATTCCTACAACACAAGATCCTGCAACAACCTTCATCTTGATATATTTTAAATATATGTGTACAGTTTAGTTCGTGGGTGTGCACCGTGCCTCTGCGTTTTAATTTCGAGCAATTTTATCCTAACTTGCTGACTTCTAAATCGTTTGATTCTTTCCACCGTTTGAGGCACTTTGCATGCTTACTGACTAAATTAAATTAAATTTTTATGAATTATAAATTAATGGTCTATTTATCATCGTTGTAACGTGCATGTATATATTTGAATGTATATTTTTGTACGATTTAAATATTGACAATTAATATTGTAAATAATTGTAATTTTGATGCAGGACCCCACTGAAAAACACGCACCTGATGTGGGTATCCTGGATAAATATTATTATTATTATTATTATTATTATTATTATTATTATTATTATTAGGTCCAAAATGTATGTAGATCTGCCTGGATTTATTAGCCCATCTGTCATCACTGGTGACGAGTTACGACCAGACCTTCTATTGACAATTGAAAATAAGATTTTGTACATTCTAGAATTAACTGTTGGATTCGAAACAAACCTGAAAACTAACTCAGATCGGAAACATGAAAAATATTTGACTCTAATTACCGATCAAGAAAATATATATGATGAAGTTAAGTTTGTTAATGTATCTATAAGCTCTTTAGGTGTATTTGGTGAATCGACGAATACTTTATTTGATATGCTCCATGATCTGAAGTACGATGAACAATGTATTAAATATGTAAAAAAGAAAATAATTGCTACTTGTATTCGCACGTCGTATTATATATTCTTTAGACGAAACAAAGACTGGAACAACCCAGAACTTTTAAACTTTTAACTAAATTTAAAAGATTTTCACCTGTATATATATTTTAGCTTTAAACTCAATTCAAGTGGACATCGATAAGCTACCTTTTATTAAGTGAGGTTTATCAATGTATATATAGTATATCGTAAATATTTAATAAAAAGTTTCCATTATTATTGTAGCCATGCGACTGTTTATAGACATGGACGTCTGACAACATATTTTATTACAAAAGTGATGGATCTTTCCCATTGTTACGGTAGGTAATATAATAACTCTATACTGGAAGTTTTTTATGTTGTTTATATCATTATTACGAGTTTTCGCCAAAAATTTTGAATCAATATGATTAATTCCTCCTGAGTTACAGCATAGACAATCCAGAAGACAGGGACTGGAAACGCAAGCTAGAATATGATGACAAATCGTGACATCCGTGATGTGCCTGTCACGTAGCAATTACTTGGTTACCACGGTAACAAGTCTTTAAATTTACATAAAAACAAAAGCAAGTGCGTGTAGTTTATGCAAAATATATCGTAAAAAAAGCGTATTATCTGAATTTTGGATCGTAGTCGTGGAGCGGCTATACTAACAAAGGTAGATACGTCCAAATTTTCATTTATTTCTATTTTATAGTGACGCTAAATGTAAAATTTGGATCGTGCTATCGGTAAATCGCGTACGCAGCAATTATTTCCAGAAAATACTGCCAAAACTAACCCTGTAACTACAAACTTAACCTGTTTTGTCTTTGATGATGAAGCCATTTGAAATCACAAGATTGTAATCTATCGAATAGGCTATTTTTTATATCAATTTGGTATCATATTCAGCCAAAAATGTTTACTGAATTTGATTGACAGAATTACGAATGTTGTTCGCCGGCAATTGTTATCGTCATATTATTCTGAAAACTCGCTGGCAAAACTAACCCTGCAACTGAAAAATAAACTATTTTTGTATTTTGTGGTCAAAGTATGTGTAATCACAAGATTGTAATCTATCGAATAGGCTATTTTTTATATCAATTTGGTATCATATTCAGCCAAAAATGTTTACTGAATTTGATTGACAGAATTACGAATGTTGTTCGCCGGCAATTGTTATCGTCATATTATTCTGAAAACTCGATGGCAAAACTAACCCTGCAACTGAAAAATAAACGATTTTTGTATTTTGTGGTCAAAGTATGTGTAATCACAAGATTGAAATCTATCGAATAGGCTATTTTTTATATCAATTTGGTAATTTATTCGCCCAAAAATGTTTACTGAATTTGATTGATAGAATTACGAATGTCATTAGCCGGCAATTGTTATTGTTATGTTATTCTGAAAACTTGCTGGCAAAACTAACCCTGCAACTGAAAAATAGACTATTTTTTTACCCTTTGGTCAAAGTATGTGTAATCATAAGATTGTAATCTATCGAATAGGCTATTTTTTATATCAATTTGGTAACTTATTCGCCCAAAAATGTTTACTGAATTTGATTGATAGAATTACGAATGTCATTAGCCGGCAATTGTTATTGTCATATTATTCTGAAAACTTGCTGGCAAAACTAACCCTGCAACTGAAAAATAAACTATTTTTGTACCTTTTGGTCAAAGTATGTGTAATCACAAGATTGTAATCTATCGAATAGGCTATTTTTTATATCAATTTGGTAACTTATTCGCCCAAAAATGTTTACTGAAAATTTGACGGCCAAAATTACTTTTGCGCCAACTAGATGATGGCCATTTCTGTTGCCCCCACTTCGAACCCTGTAGCTATAGTTTAACTAAATAAAGTTCAGAGTTTGTAATTTACATATTTTGAACAAAAATAGACCTGTGGATGCACTTGTCCCGTTTTGAAACTTATATCGGGTCAAACAAAGCCAAAAACGTCCTTTGAATGCTTGCGTAATGTTTTTCACTGTAAAAAAGTCGCCATTGCCATTTGTTTTTGTCCGGCAAAGTTTGTACTGGCTAACTTCGAACCCTGCAACTACAGTTTAAATAAAGTTCAGGGTTTGCAATTTACATATTTAAAACAAATATAGACATGTGGATGCATTTCTCCGGTTTTTAAACTTATATTGGGTCAAACAAAAGCAAAAACCACCTTTTAATGATTGCGTAATGTTTTTGACAGCAAAAAAGTCGTCATTGCCATTGGCATCTTGTTGGCATTGTCGAAAGTTAAGAGTGTTAAACATACAAAACTCACTGTTAAAATAACTGAAACCTTGTTTTTATTTCTTTTAAATAATGGATGCCTTGGCAAAAAGGGTTTTCGAGAAAGGATTTGTTGTCAATATTAAAAATGGAAGGTATATTAATTTAAAAACCGAAATTGCCAAATTCAAATTTTAAAATGTAGATCAAGGAAAACTTCGAAAAGATAACTTCAATCAATTTATATAACGTAATTACAGTGAAGCAAAATTGAATAAATATACGTAAACTTAAATAGAGTAAACTAAAATATGCAAACAAACCTGAATCGTGCCTGAAAGTCCACCACAAATTGGAAATCAAAATTTTGAACAAGCTCGAAAATTCTCTGCACTCGTCTCTGAATATTAGCAGATCCGTTTTATAAACTTTACACACAATGTGATCTACCTAACTCCCTTTTCGGTGTAGATTATTTTAACAATTTTCCAGTATATAAAGAGCTGTAAAACAGCAGACAAGTACCGGTCCACAATTTATCGCTTTATTCTTTTTCGAAGCAACAGGCGCCATTCAGTAATTCACTCACATGGCATGGCATGATTGGCACAAGCGTCACGCAAGCACATCACGGATGGCACGCGCAAAACATTAGGCGTTTCCAGTCCCTGTCTTCTGGATTGTCTATGGTTACAGCGTCTTGAAAAATAAAAGTGCTAACGTCAGCATTATTTTCGAACGCCTTCAGAACTGTGTTATACACAAAATTTAGTTAAAAATTCTTGGTTAAGATTAAGACAGGACTTCCTTACCTGATATAAATAAGAATTTAAACATCTTGGCTCAAACTTGCCTTTATTTTAGCATTTGATTTCTGGATAAGTGCTTGGTTGTTATAAAATGGTTACTGTGTGCCGATATCAATTCAATTGCATGCCTTTTGCGATGCCTCGGGAAAGGCAATGGGTACAGCCATTTACCTGAGATCAGTCTACGAAAGTGGTATTGTACAAGTTCGTTTAGTCGCTTCAAAGACCAAGGTAGCGCCAATTAAGAGACAAAGTATACCTCGACAAGAACTGCTTGGAGCAGTTATACTGGCCCGACTCGTTGAAACTGTTGTGAAAACCATACCCCGAGAAGTTGAAATATTTTACTGAACAGATTCAATGACTGTGTTGTATTGGATCTTGAATCTTAAGCAGTGGAAACAATACGTGCAACATCGTGTACAAGAGATACGCAGCTTGACCAAGGAAGGAGACATTGTCCAGGACAGTTGAATCCTGCTGACCTGCCATTCGAGAGGGATTAGTGGGGCTGACCTTGTGAATAATTGTTTGTGGTGGTCTGGTCCAGAATTCCTTCTCAAATCGGAAGACCAATGGCCAGTGAGTCCAGTAATCGATAAGGGCAACGCGTTTGACGAGCTGGTGACACATCTTACCCCGACATCGTTCGTGATGATCAATCAGAATGGATTGAAAAGAAGTGCGGGTATTAGTGAAATGATTGACTGAGAACGATTTAGCAACCTGAACTCCTTACTTCGAGTAACGGCATATGTATTTCGGGCAATCAAGTACTTCAAACAACAAGGCAAGGATAAATCGAGTCGATTGGCCAAACAAGTGGAGTTGACAGCCGAAGAAATCAATGAAGCAGAAATCTGCTGGATCAAATCGGTTCAAACGACGGCATTCGACAAGAAACCCGCGTACCTCGAGGGAAACCAACAATCGAGTACACCGTCATTCGTTCCTCAACTAGGACTATTCATTGATGAAAATGGGATCCTCAAGTGCAAGGGTCGAATTGCACATGCTGATCTGCCTCAATCGACTAAGACTTCTGTTTTGTTACCGACGAAACATTCTTTTGTTCAGCTGGTCATTCTCGCTGTTCATGAAGGAGTGAAACATAGTGGGATAAGAGATACATTGTCCACTATCAGAGAAAGATTTTGGATTTTACGTGGGCGCGAGGCGATAAAGAAAGTCATAAGAAAGTGTGTGTTGTGCCGAAAGTTACAAGGACAGCCGTTTCAACCCGAAATCTCACCAGATTTACCGGCTGAGAGAGTATCCGAGGATCCACGGCCGTTTCACCACACAGGAATGGATTTTGCGGGCCCCTTATTCGTGAGGAGATCAACAGAATCTCAAGAAGAAGGCGAAAGTCGAACGGTTAAGTCTTATGTATGTCTGTTCACGTGCCAATCTACGAGGGCAATTCATTTGGAACTTGTTCCAAGTCTAGACGTTCCGTCATTTTTGCATGCGTTTCGTAGGTTCTCTGGTCGAAGGGGATTGCCAGCAACTTTGTTGTCCGATAATGCGAAGAATTTCAAGTCATCAACCAAGGAAGTAACCAAGATAATACGATCTGATGAAGTAAAGAGATACCTCGCAAACAATAGAATCACGTGGAACTTTATAGTTGAGCGAGCTCCTTGGTGGGGAGGCTTTTGCATGGGAGAGCCTCGTGAAGAGCGTCAAGAGTTGTCTGAAAAGAATGTGCCGAACTTGTGTCGGCACACTAAAACTCTCGTATTATGTTTTAGTAAAGTTTAATAAACTATAAAAACTCCCACTTTTTACACAAAACTCTCGCTCACAAAGTCTCACATGTTCGTTGTTTCTCCCGATACTCATGATCAGGTCGCCCGCGAACAGGCTTGTTTCCCACAGGTAACCCAATACCCCTATCTATAATATGTTCGTTCACGCTCCCCTCTAAAATTAAATGTTTTTCTTAATTTTATATTTAATATCAACTAGAAAGTTAAAGTTCGCAATCAAATGTCCGACATTATGTCGAGTTCCATTCTCAGTTCAATCTTCTTCCTCTTCCTCTTGTATCAACTGCAGTATTTTACACCTAGCGTCCTTTGCCGCTTGTCTCTTACTCTTTCGTTGTCCGCTTTCGTCCGTTTCTTTTGGCTTCGTCTCCTTTGGCTTCGGTTCTTCAATTCCTGTTTCCTTGAGTTCGAGAGAGCAAACAAGAGAAAGTGGTCTTTCAATCGTATGTCCCTTCGTCAAGATCTTTACTCCTCGCACAACGTTGTCCTTGCCCTTGATTAGCTCAACAACTTTCCCCCGTTTCCATTCAGCTCGATTCTTTTCCTCACCGACCACTAACATCATTTCTCCCACTTCTGGACACGCATTTTCCCCTTTAATCACTCGATGATGTTCCATCAAACTATGTACGTACTCCGTCTTCCATCTTTGCCACGCGTGTTCTCGTTTCTGCTTCATTCGTTTGTGTAACTTCACGACTTCTCCATCATCCGTGTCTGATTCGTCAATGGTATGCACATTTTGTCCCCACAGAATTGTATTTGGTGTGAGCACTTGTTCCTCTTCTTGCTCGCTTTCGACGTACGTCAGTGGTCTATTGTTTACATTTTTCTCAATATCAATTACAATAGCTTGTAACTGGTCAAAAAATAATGTCGATCTTCCCAGGACTTTATACAGGGCTTTTTTAATGACCTTAAGTAAGCGTTCGTACATTCCACCCCATCAAGGGGACTTGGATAGATTGAATCTCCACCGAATCTCTTGTCTTGCCAAATAATCTTGCAGTCGTTCACTTTTACGTATCTTTCTGATCCATAACGCTGTCGCTTTAAACGCTCCTCCGTTGTCCGACACAATCAACTTTGGTCTGCTCTTTCTTGCGATGAAGGCCTTTAGCTTTACTTTGAATTCCTCTGCCGATTGTGTCTTCGTCAACTCCAGATGCACGGCTCTGGATGTAGCACATGTAAATATTAGGATGTAGCACTTGCCTTCTTCTTTCTTGGTAAGCTTATATGTGAGGGGACCCGCGAAATCAACACCCGTTGTTTCAAATGGTCGTCCGCTTTCGATTCGAAACGTAGGTAGTTCGGCAGTTGCTGTACGACCATATGGTTTGACTCGGTACGCTTTACATACGTTGCATTCGTTAATGATCCTTTTAACTTTCGAGCGCAGTCTCGGAATCCACCAGTTCTCTCTTAGTGCGGCCATCGTGTTCGCGATACCAAAATGACGTATCTCATTGTGTGTATGCATAATTAATTTGTCCGTAAAGTCTCCTCCTTCCAAGTATATCGGCTGATACCCGGGAATTCGACCTTTACATTTCAGTAAACCAGAATCACCTTCTCGTATGACTTCCCATCCAGGTGCTCGTAGCTCCGAACTCATGTCTTCTTGGACCTTCTTCACCCATCGCACTTTCGACTGTTCTAGCTCGTTCGTCGTCAGCGGACCTTTCGCTAGGTTAGTTTTCCGTTTTCTGGCTCTTGCATTGCTTACAAATCTTAACGCCCACGCAGTAACACGAATAGTCTTCCAGTAGCTTGATCGAGAAAGTAGCAAGTCCCATTCGTCCGGATCTTTTTCTTGCGTATTGAAAGCTACTTCCGTCATCGGCTTTTGCTCGTCCAGGACAGTCTTTGTTCTCTCGAGCTTTGGTTGTTTTGGCCATTTGTCTGGGTTAACTAGCCACTCGGGACCATTAAACCAACCGTCCTTTTCCATTTTGTCGATCGAAGCTCCCCGACTCCCTAAATCAGCTAAATTTTCCTCGGATGGACAGTACTTCCAACTGATGCCTACTTCTTCCGTAATTTCAGCAATCTTCCGCGTCCGATTTGATACAAAGACTTTCCAGGATCTTTCTGGGCTTGCAATCCAAAACAAAGCAACCAGGCTGTCCATCCACACTGTAACTGATGCAATTGGCCATCTTCTCAATGCGGCAACCAAATTCTTAGCCATATTGGCAGCCATCTGACCGCTAACTAATTCCAGCCTTGGTATGGAAGTGTTTCTCTTGGCAATTCTGGACTTTGACGTAAGAAGACCTTTAACTATTCCACTGGAATGTTCGATTACTGCTATACTGACCGCCGAGCACGCTGTGAAACTTGCATCAGCAAATAAATGCAAATGTATAGCTTTCACCTTTCGAATCTCCCTTGCTAGACTTCTCGGAATTTTCACGTTTCTTAACTGTTGTCGCCACTTTATCCAATCTTTGGACGTGCTGGTAGATACTTCTGAATTCCAGCCGACTTTCTCATCACACGCTTCTCTATAGATGCGCTTCCCTTCAACCATGGTCGGCGATATTATTCCCAAAGGGTCATATATGCTACTGAGTTCCTTAAGAATATGTCTCTTTGTCACTGGTGTTTCTTCCTTTGTAGGTTCTGCTCGAATCTCAAGTGTATCTTCTCTCTTATTCCATTTATGTCCGAGTATTTTGCTGGGATTTGATTCGTTGTCAAGTTCTTCGACATTCGACTCCCACTTGTGGACTGGGAACTTCGCGTTTTCTAGGATTTCTGTCGCTTCGCGTTTGAAATCTTCAAGATCTGCAATATCACTTCCGGTCTTCATTAGATTATCAACATAAGTGTTCTCTTTTAACGACTCAATGGTGTTTTGGTACTCTTCTGGCTGCAGATTGAAGTGGTGTTGCAGGGTGGCACCAAGCATAAATGGGCTGGCTTCCACGCCGAAAGGCACACGAGTAAATCTTAAATGTTCTACTTGACCGTTAATGTCAAACAGAAACCGAAACGCGTCTCGATCATCTTCCTTCAAACCAACCTGCAGAAACGCCTTCTGCAAGTCTGCGAGTAGTAGATGGGTTGACATTCTGGCTCTGATTAATATGTCCCATAACAATGGTTGAAGTGGGGGGCCAGTGTGCATGCATTCATTGACGCTATTGGCCGTTGGATGGGGTCTGGCACTGGCATCGAACACCATTCTCACCTTGGTTGTAGAGGCATTTTCTTTAATCACCGGTTTGTGTGGCATGTAGAACACACGTTCACTAGTCGAGCTCTCTTTGGTCTTTTCAATGACTCCGTCTTTCAACTGTTCATGCACAATTTTCTCGTATTCATCTTTGAGCTGTTGATTCTGTTTCAACTTCCTGTTTACATTGTGGAGTCTCTTCCTACTGGGTTCTTCATTAGTGTTTGACAATACAGCTCCAGGTATCCATGGAACAGCAACTTCGTATCTTCCATCCTCTTTCCTAGTGATGCTTTCTTGGAATTCTGCATAAATTGTTGACTGATCTTTCTCCCCTCGATCCTCTACTCCCAAGACATCTAGGGAATAGAGCTGTTCATAATCACTATGGTCACAAACATACATGCACCTTGAATCTGCGTAATCTTGGCCGCCATGAACTACCCAACCGAAGGTCGTTCCTTCTACAATCGGATCCTCTGATTTTCCCTTGTAGACTTGATCAGTCCGTATTTTGCAATAGGTAGCATCGCCCAATATGACATGGATGGGATACTCTTCGCTTTCTGACCGGTAGAATGTTTTCTCGCGAAGATGCTCGTATTTCTCCTTTAGCTCTATGAACGTCGGTCTTTTCACAGTTGTAAAATCTGGCATTTCTGTACCAGTAATCTCGATATTCTCACTTGCCCGTCCATCAATTGAATTGATTGTTACTTCAAACACTGGCATTGATGCCTTTTTGGACCCGTTTACAGTTAGGATGTTTCTACTCTCATGGCGCTGGGGTGATAGTCTTAATTGTCGCACTGCTTCCTTCGAGATGAAATTTCTCCCAGAGCCCGTGTCGAGATACGCCCAAAATGTCTTACCCTTAATTTTAAGTGGCACAATAGCTGGTAAAGACTTCTCTTCAGAGGATGGGGAATATCCATTTAACATTGCGTTGTGGTTTTCTCGATTATTGTTTTCCTGCAGTTTATCACAAAGGCTAGTGTGATGTTTGCCCTTGCACTTGTAGCACCCCCTACTGCGACATTTACTTTCGCGGTGGCCTGGTCGACCACAATTAAAGCACAGTCGTTTTTCAACAAAGAACTGTCTACACTTAGTCACAGAGTCATACGATGTGCATTGGTCTCCCCAGTGCTGTCCTTCGCAATAAATACAGACCGGGCCCTTGCCTTTACCATTGGTAAACTCTCCCCCCTTTTGGGTATACCAGTTTCGCTCCCTCTTTCTTGGGTTTTCATGCTCCTTAGTTGATACCTCTTCTGTTTTGTTACGCTTCAACCACCCCTGTAATGCTGATAACAATTGTTTCATGTTCCAATCTTCCCAATTATCATCCATACGTACTAGATCAGGCTTAACCTGGGGGAGTTTATTTAAAGTAGATACCACCAACCCCTTTAACATAGCTTCTTCACTCAACGTTTGCAGTGCGTCATAGTTTTTGCAAAGACTTTCATAAAATTCACATACCTTATCGTAATTTCTTCCTCTCACCGTCTGTAACTTAATAATCTCCTCCATATGAGCTGCAATTACTAATTTATTATGACCATATTCCATTTTCAACCTTTCCCATGCTGTTTTGTAACCTTCTGACCCCGGCTTCAAGTTCGAAAGTCTACCTCTCACCTTCGGATTCACAAGCTCTAACAGGTACCCAAATTTCTCAGCGTCCGAAATGGACTTGCTGTCAACTTGTGAGGAAAACATATTCTCAAACCTTATCCAGTCAGCAGAAGTGCCATTAAAGGGTGATATTTTCAACTCTGGTAGTTTCGATGTGCTTGCTTTAGCTTCTTTCTCCATCTGAATTTTCTTCTCTGCCAGCACTAACTCCGCTCTCATTCTTTCTTCCCACATTTCTTTCCCTTGTTGTTGGATCTGCCTACGTAGTTGCTCTTCTTTCTCCATCTTTCTGATCGCCACTTCTTCCTCAGCTCTCAAGTTTTCATGTCTCTGTCTATCGTCTAATACCCTACACAACCTCGCACGTTTCTCACACAGTGGTGCATACTCTGCCTTCAAATCTCTTGTCCACTGTCTAATAGATCTTTGTGTTGAATTTCCCAGCTCAATTTTTAATTCTTGTAAATGCGACACCAAGTCGTTCATATTATCCTGAATCTGCTGTGTTCGCTTGCATACTTGTTTGATTTCATTAAAATCCTCACTTTCCAATAATTCGTCGACGTCCTCGAGATAAAACTGCAGCTTTTCAATCTCTTTTCTAATCTTTTTCTCCTGGTCTTTCTCCTCCTGAGTGATTTCTACCGTAATATTCTCCTCAATTTCTTGTTGTTCAAGTTCGTCCGCCATCTTGGATTTCGTAATACCCTCAATTTCTCGTCTTTATCCGCAAATATTTCGTTGTTCAATCCTGGTCACGGCACCAAAATGTGCCGAACTTGTGTCGGCACACTAAAACTCTCGTATTATGTTTTAGTAAAGTTTAATAAACTATAAAAACTCCCACTTTTTACACAAAACTCTCGCTCACAAAGTCTCACATGTTCGTTGTTTTTCCCGATACTCAGGTCGCCCGCGAACAGGCTTGTTACCCACAGTAACCCAATACCCCTATCTATAATATGTTCGTTCAATTGCGCGCTCTTCACACATGTGAAAAGACTGGAACTGGCCTTCAAGTTTGGCGTCAAATTTTTGGTTGAAGGCAGCGTTCCAGTTATATTCATTGGATATGGATCATGTGCCCCCCAGTTTGTTTTAGCGAGCCAGATTTTCCAGACTAATAAATTATTTTCCAGATTAAAATTGTAATTTTCTAATGGAAATGAACACCACCTCCCCAATCCTAGAATACATTAACCCATTTAGCCATCTGGGCACATTTCCACTTAAAGGGTTAACAGCTGGGTGCATGGGCACTAGTCTGATTAACCCATTGAGTGGCAGCACTCTCCCCCTGGCGAGTAAAATCGTCTGGCGTTAGACAGAGTAAAATAATAAAGTGGGCACATAATGCCATCTGGGCGCATTGTTAAATATCCAATCAATCCCTTTGAAATTTAGCAAAAATTAGTTGAAATCATTAATTTACTGTATGACCTCATGTCACTTAAAAATATTATTTTTGATAAATATTTGATTAACTAGCTCAGAATATTTTGTCAATTTTTAGGCTCAGCTATCGGATTTACACTTCTGGAAGGAATTTATCAAGGAGAGTTTTGATTTAACTGTCGAAAGTGATATTGAGAAATTAGAAGGTTCATTATATAAGTGGTCACATCCAGACGTTTGGTAATCACAAGTACTGGGTGTCCCTATTACACAGTACAGCAGCATTACATGCCATAAATACCAAAGTATATTCAATGTTTCTCCTAAAGATATAATTTCTGTAAATTATGGCCATCATATTCACTTGTATTTGAAATGAAATATATCTGCCATGGTGATGGATTTGAGCCATAATAAAAGATAATATATTTTGTTAATATTCAATTTCCCTTGTCAGTATGCAGGGCACGAAATGGGAACTGTTATTACATCCAGTACGTGCTGGGCTATTCATAGTCCATTATGCAGGGGGTTTTAGCCGGTTTTAACACCCCCTCCACTTTTCAGTGTTCAAACCAGTTGGTAAATTAGTCAATTGATAGAATGCTCTCGGTAAACTCTGAACTATGGTCGGTAAATTTGTTAAGTTACATGAATATTGAATATACAGTAGTGATATCGACCAGCTCCATGACTGACTTTGAGGAATCTTTTCACAACGTCATATGCAGTCGGACAATTGATTGCAACTATAGTGTACAGGTACATAAAATCAGGAATCTATTCTATGACGTTTCATCATCATATTGGCAGAAGTATGTTTGATAGATCAGTCGTGAATTATTTTTCTTTTTCTGCAAGGGCTTGTCGTTTTGAAAACGTTGATCAGGAGGATGCTTATGTAATTCGTCCATTTCCTTCAATGTGGAAATGTGGTGTAGTGGTTCCAGATGGTTTTGATCCAATGGCTTTCGACACAAAGCGTTTGCAAAGCCTGTGTAGATCTTTAGATATCCTAATTCACATGAAAGAAGGTATAAAGGAATTTGGACTTGAATGTGGTAAGGATCTGTAATATACGACATACTGTATGGTATTATACATACTGTACATATGCCTAAATGTATGGCGAGGGTGGAACCGAAGAGAAAAGGGTTGGGTAAACAAAATTTTGAGTGAGTAAAAAGGTTGGGTAAATGAAAAACAAAACAACTCAGGGGGTGGGTAATAAAAATGTATTGACATTTCCAGAGTATGGCTTACTCAAATGTCGAAGACTAAAAAGCAATGTCGAAAGTCATATGTCAATACAATATGTAAATCACTAGTCGAGTCACTATCGTGATCACTTTCCGACTTGTCAAGAGGCAAATGGTGTCTCCAAAAAAGTACATGTGCAGACAACATGAAACTTTAGACTGCAGAAAATTTTTTCACAAGCAGTTATCAAACTCATGTCAAAGAAGTGGTAAAGGACATGTGACAACTGAACGGTATCCTTTTGTAAAGTTTTTGGCCAGGGTATTTATACTTAATTGATATTTAAGGTTGGGCAAAAAAAATATATTTTGACTTTTTAATGGTTGGATCAGCAAAATTTATATCGCTGGTACATTACCCTTCGGTGCCTTCCGGCCATACAAATAAATGACTCCGGTCCCTAACTAATCCGGGCAATTTTGTGTTCAGGCAACGAGTGCCTGGGGAACGAGCTATGCTTTTTATCCGTGAAGTCGTCATGTCACATGGGTGGAGAAATTATACCGTATAAAAGTTAGACTGTCTTCAACAAGATATTTCTAATTTTACTAGGAAATATGGGAGGGACCAATTGATGTTTTAAACGAGTTCGCTCTTTTGATGATAAAGTACCTTTTCATTTGGTAGATCATGTTCGTGAAGAAAATAAAAGAAAATCACCATGTTTGAACAGTTGCTTTTGGCCGTCCTAGTGCATATTACTGGAGTGACTGGGCAGAAACGAATATGACTACGAAAGAGAACTGGCATTCTTACATGGCTCTTGGTGAACATTATGGTCCCGAGTAGAGCTTCAGAGAAAAGCCGGATATGCAAGTAAGTAAGTAGTAAGTAAAAACTTTATTTGTCTACGCTAACCCCTACAGCAAGAGCTGATTTCCAAGAGGGGCGTAGGTTTAAAAATACAAACGTTACACTCAATTAGGATAAATATATATACAAGACTAACACATTACAATACAATTATACAATTATAATTACTCTACTATGGTCAAATAAATAAAATTTCATAAACTCATTATCTAACTGGCCAGGTGCCGCACACTTAAGTTAAATTGACTAAGAGAACATTTATTTCTTAGTCTATCTGGGAGGCCATTCCACAATTTTGCTCCTCTATAACTAAGACCTTTTTTGAGATATTCGGTCTTAGGTTTGGGCAGGTAGAGATTTGTGGCATAACCTCGTAAGTTATAATGTTGAGACGAAGGCGTCTTTTGAAACATATCAATTAGTTGTTTGGGCGCTAGATCGTGGGTTATTTTGTACATGAGACTTGCTACAAATTGAGTTCTGCGTTCTTTCAATGTTTTCCAGTTTAGTTCATTTAAAGCAAGTTCAGATTGGCCGTGTTCGTTTTTACGACCCGTAATTACTCTAGCAGCCCTATTTTATAATTTTTGGAGGCGATCAGAGAGTGTGATACCAATAGTATCCCAAACTTCGCAGCAGTAGTCGAAGTGGGGCAATATAAGTGCGTTATAAGCACATATTAATGTATTATGGTCCACACAGGGTTTGAGTCTTCTGATCGCTCCAATTCCGAATGAAACCTTCTTAGCAATTTTGTCAATATGCTTATTCCATGACAAAAATTCATCAATACATACTCCAAGTGCTTTTGTTTCTCTCACTCTTTTAATTTGTACATCGCCAACGAACACATTTGGAACAAGGGCTAGATTGTTGACGTTATGCCGAGATCCAATTAGTAAGTATTCAGTTTTAACAAGATTTAGGGATAGTTTGTTTGCAGATAGCCACCGCTTTACGTTAGCAAGATCATAATTAATGGCCATTTCTACATCAGCAACTGATTTACCAGATGCAGTTAATGTCGTATCATCGGCAAACATTCTTGTTGACGAATACTCCAAACTGTTGGGCAAATCATTAATATAAACCAAAAATAGGAGCGGCCCAAGAATTGAGCCTTGAGGGACTCCACATGTAATTAATTTTTTACGAGAAAGTGTGCCATTAACAGAGCACATTTGAGTTCTGTTTTCTAGATACGATTTTAGGAGGTTTAAAGCGGGTGTTTCTAAACCATAAAAATCAAGTTTTTTCAATAATACAACGTGGTTAATAGTGTCGAATGCCTTTTGCAAGTCGAGAAAGACTGCAATATTAAAAAAGCCACGATCCATATTAACAAACCATTCATTTGTGCTATCTAAAAGGGCGGATGCTGTTGAGTGACTACGTCTAAAACCGAATATTGATGTTGGGATAGTAAGTTATTTGTAACAAGATAATCGTGTAACTGTTCGTATAATACTTTTTCGAAAACTTTACTTACAACAGGAAGAATGGATATAGGGCGATAATTATTTAACAGGTTTCGAGGGCCTTTTTTATGTAAAGGTGTAACTCTCGTTGCTTTCCATTCAGATGGAACGGATTCACTGGTGATTGCCCTATTAAAAATTTTTGCCAAGGAATTTGCAATTACTGGGGAAGCAATACGAATAATTTTAGCTGGAATTTTGTCAATACCGGTAGATTTACCGGGATTTAGAGACAAAAGAAGTCTATGAACTTTCGATTCAGATACAGCTTGGAACTTAAAATTGCTAGTTACTCTAGTTATGTAATCCGTGAAATTTCTGTCACCTTTATCGATCGTTTTTGCAATATCTGGGCCAATATTAGTAAAATAATCATTGAAGCTTTCCGCTAACTCATTTGGATCGGTTATCTCTCCATTTTGAGTTTTGACAGAGTTTATATCTGGACATTTTTGCTTTCGATTTAGGATTTTATTAACAGTTTTCCAAGCTTGTTTTGGATCATGTTTTACTTTATCAAATTGTACTTTATAATAAGCTGTTTTAGCTTCTCGCAAAGCATCTGTTATGCGATTTCTAGACGATTTATAAGCATCCCAGTAATTTTCCGATTTGTATTTTATTGCAAGAAGTTTTAGACGATCTCGTTCTCTAATTTGTTTTTAATTGTAGTGGTTAGCCAAGGGACACTGGGTTTATCTTTCACTCTTTTCTCTTTATTTGGAGCATGTTTGTCGAGCACTGTCATAAAGAGTGTTTTCCATATATCCCACATCTTATCAACGCATGCTTGGTTATCTAATAATTCCCAATCCTGACTATACAGGTCGGCTTGGAAATTATCGACATTAAAATTTTTTAAATTTCGAAATTCAACTTTCTTGTGGCGTTTTTGTTTACAGTAAGTATTTATTTTACGAACAATGACGATCATATAATGGTCACTAATTGTAATCGGCACTACCCTAGATGTAATTAACTTTTCTGGAGTAGAAGTGAGACAAACATCTAACAAAGAGGATGAAGTCGTGGTTTCACGAGTGGGTGCACTAATTGTTTGAGTTAATTGATATTGTTCCATAATTGAAACTAGTTCTTTTGTGGCATTATTCGAAACGTCAAGCATGTTGGCATTTAAATCGCCAAGCAAATAGAATTCCTTATTCTCGTCATCTATTAATTGCACTAATTTTTCAATTGCGACAAATGAGTCAACCGAAGCACTTGGAGGTCTGTATATAGTTCCAACAATACTACGCATACATACATACATACATACATACATGCATACATGCATACATACATACATACATACAAAACTTTATTTAAACCACGCTAGCTTCAACAGCCGTTGGAAGGCTGGTTTCTGTCCATGAGGGATGTGAAATTACCTACTTACAAGAAATTAACTATTTACAAGAAATACAACTGAATATAACAACAAAAAAATATAAGTGATTTTAGCTGCACGATTACACACAAGCAAATTTCAACTCATTCTTTGTTTCAATATCGATTTGAAAGAGCTTAAGGATGACATTATAATCAAAGAATGTTTTTGGAAAGCTGACATACGAAGAGCGAGAAGGACAGCATTGTTTGCCGCAAAATGCCAGGCGCATATTGCCACAGATGAGACAAATACAGATATGAATCTCACGTCAAATTGCTGATTGTTTTGTGTCACACGGAATTCGCACTTCCGGCGAGCGCTGGCAAGTGTCGTTCTGAAATTTAATAAGGAAAGAGATAGGAAAACGCCGTTCGAAAGACGAAAAATTGCTTTTTTAAAAAATCTACGCTACAGACGGCTATTGTTGGAATGAATTCTTCAAGAGTAACGGTAAGCGATCACTTTTATTGATTTCCTTTTATTAAAAGTGTTAACATAACATTTTATTTAGCAAAAGTTGTTTTTTTTTCCTATCTACTTCTTATTAAAATTGTGAAATACACTTGCTGGGAATTTCAGATGCTCATGTTTAAATAACAAAACAGCGAATGATATAAACGCCTCAAAACATAACTCTCGCATAAAAAAAGCATGAATACTTCTAATGTATAGTTTTATTTCTCTGCATTATCAAAATTTAATAAAATAGTGAATTAATATAATTTTAAAGTTTATTTGATCAGTGTGACACAATTTGCCGCGAGATTCGCCTCTGTATATCTCTCCTCTGTGCTATCACAGAGAAGAGATATACAGAGAGGAAACTGACACCTCGATAACCTGAATTTTTGTGTCACGCATTCCACGCGCCACGCAAAATCTTCCAGCCAGTGCCGTCTCTGAAATTTCATAGCAAAAGATAGGGAAAACGCCGTTCGAAAGGTTAAAATCGCTTTTTTCAAAAAAAAATGAGATACCCATGGAAATTTTGTTCAATAAATTGTAAATAACGGTGAGCGATCACTTTTATTGATTTCCTTTTATTAAAAGTGTAAACAAAACATTTTATTTTGCAAAAGTTTGTTTTTCCCGCCTACTCCTTATTAAAATCGTGAAATACACATGCTGGAGTGGATGAGAATTTCAGATACTCATGTATAAAAAACAAAGCAGCGAATGATATAAATTCCTCAAAATAGAACTCTCGCATAAAAAAAAACATGAATACTTCTATATGTATACTTTTATTCCTCTGCATTGTCATAATTTAATAAAATAGTGAATTAATATAATTTTCTATAGTTAATGGACTGAATATATCGGCGTGACACAATTTGCCGCGTGTTTCCTCTCTGTATATCTCTTCTCTGTGGTGCTATTGTGCTATTGCCAATGAACGAGCGCGAGCAGAATGTGAACGCACGCGAAGACAATCACGCAATCGTGCAGCTGACGCAAGATAAACATCAACTGATAAAATGAACAAACGTTTAAGACCCCGTTTAAACGGTACCGGACGAATTTGTGACCGGACGAAAATTCGTCCGTTTCGGCCGTGTAAACACACGAGAACCACGGAACCGGACGAATTTGAGACCCCCTAACAGGACAAATTCGCGTGTAAACAGGCGAAAAAGTACGAATTTTCGTCCGGTCCCAAATTCGTCCGGTACCGTGTAAACGGGGTCTAAGTCTTTGAAAATGGTTTTCGTGTATGAAACCATAGGCAGCCCAAAACTGCGTGTAGAATGCACCAAATGTTAATTTATATTCATTTTATATTCAATGAAAAGCATTGTAAATATGAGCGATGCTTTTCATTGAGTGCTTGTGCCGCGCGACAAATGACAGAGGAATGGGGCGAGCTTAATATAAATTGGTTCCAGCATTTGGTGCATTCTACATGCCGTTTTGGACTGCCTATGATGAAAACAAGTGGAAACACGCTCCAACATGGCGGCTGCAAAATTTCGAGCTCCGTCAAATTATGATTTAAAAATGTTATTTATTGTCTGAAAGAAGTCACCTCTACAAACAAATTTGATCTTAATTGCTGCATAGTACTTTGTTCTCACAAATTGCGGAAAGAAGAAAGCTGATTTGGTACATGAAGCGAATTATTCAACGATTTGGTGAACAATTCTACACGATTTGTTATACATGTCACATTGTTAATATTGCTAAATAACGTGATGATTGACGGTGGCTTGATCTACGATGGGGTCAGGGACAGTGTTTTTCCCTTGATTGATGGAAAAATATTGATGCTATAAAAGTAGTCGACTTGAAGAAAGCATTGGGACTGAGGGGGCTAAAGAAATCAGGTCTAAAGGGTGAACTAAAAGAAAGACTTTGCCAGGACATTATTAGTCACTCTGTAGAATCCCTTAGTGATACGTCAATTTCATCCGAAGAACATAATGGGACCTCGACAATCCTTCCAAATCTACCTAGCTTTAAACCTATAAACCATTCTTCAGGTTTTAGGGTTTATTCGACAGAGGGAAAATTGTTCTGTGACTTCTTTGATTCGGCATATGATGAGGCGGTGAAATGGCGGAAGAATGTATTTAAAATTCCTTCAGGAAAAGCGGGCAAAGAATTCATCAAATTACAATCACAATGGCTATCTAAATTTAATAATGAAGATAGTTTTATGGGTATATCATTGAAGGTTTTTATGACCCTTCCAATGATTCTTCTGCAAAAGCCCTCAGTATCGTCAAAAGCAAGGGAACATTCGCAAGCCTTGAGCCGTAGAATCAAATGGCTAAAAGATGGTGAATTACAGCGTCTGCTTTCAGAATGTCGTTCTATCCAACGTCAATTACGACCAAAGACATCCTCGGACAATCTGTCTAAAACTTTTGCAAAGTTAATCATGATGGGAAACGTTAATGCTGCTCTTCGTCTTCTTAGCGAAGAATCTGATGGTTGTGTCCTACCATTATCCGAGGAAGTCCTTCGAAATATGCAGGAGAAGCATCCAGCCCCTGCAGATATACAACCAAGTAGCTTACTCCATGGTCCCATTATTGACCTTCGCAATATATCTATAGCAGTTGATGAGCAAACTATACTAACTGCTGCGAAAACACTAAAGGGAGCTGCTGGTCCCTCTGGCCTCGACGCTAATCAGTATATTCGTATGCTTTGCTCAAAGCAATTTCACCGTGAAGGTAAATGCCTGCGTGAACAAATTGCTTTGTTTGCTGTGACAATAGCAACAGAAAGTCTGGATCCCTTCTGCCTGGAAGCATATGTTGCCAATAGACTTATCCCCTTAGACAAAGTCCCCTGGTATACGACCCATCGGTATTGGTGAGATTATGAGGCGCTTGGTTGGGAAAGCGCTAACAAAGGAATTCAAGCAAGATTTCAAAGAAGCGACTGGTCCGATTCAAGTCTGTGCTGGGCATGAAGCTGGAGCAGAAGCAGCCATCCATGCTATGCAGCAAGTATGGGAAGAGGAAAACACGGAAGGGATCTTACTGATTGATGCAAGTAATGCATTTAATTCACTAAATCGTCAAGTTGCTCTTCATAACATTTTGTTATTATGCCCAAGACCAGCGATATCCATAATTAATACGTAT